AAGGGTAGCCTCGTGAGCATCCTGACTGGCATGTCCATTAAAGACGTCACCCACCAACCAAGTGCTGTCAGAAATCCCACAAGTTTGATGCTGAGAGAAACTGGTTGGACCTGGAAAACTGTTGCTCAGGATGTGATGAAGCAATTTGCATTGACAACCTTGGAGAACATCAGCGACTTGGCCGGCAGTCAAGACATTTAAGTCGATTTCGACGGACAGGCCTTCAAGACATGCAAACCTGCGAAATCGCTGTGAGTATCTGGATGCAAGTCCACACAAGGCCTGATTTTATTGTACATTGCATGCTCATCTAGCGGCAGGGGGTTGAGACACGTGTATTGCTTCACCACTTCTCCACCAATACACGGTGAGGATATCAGTTCTGGACGCAGAACTGACGTACCTGCATAGATTTTGCGCTTGTTATGCAAATTGTTTCTGACTTTCTCGCCTTTCACCTTTCCGTTTGCTCAGGGCCATTGCAGGTTTTCGAGGACACTAACTAACTAGATCGTACAGCGTTGATGCTCTCGTGGCATCACCCCGAACTGGCGCTCTTACGAGCTCTTTCTCAAGTGTGTTTTGCAGCTTGTTCCCACTGCGGTATGCTGGCAACTCATTCTCCACCACTCTTTTGTCCACGTACCGATCTACGTGCCAGTGGACCATTCACCACAACCACACCCCCACCAAACACCACCGACAACCAATCCTCCCACCACCACCTCCCACTCACCTTAAATCCCTCCCCAGCGCCCTTGACGAGAATGTAGACGAAGCCTGGTTTCAAGAAAATTTACACATCACCGCGTGGCAGCCCACTTTTACCTGGCCTCAAAACACCTCGGGCTGCCAATTCTGCCAGCGCCGCACCAGATTCCCCAGGCTCTGCACGTTGCATCAACCCATTTTGCACACATCCCACCGGCTCCACACTCTCCAGTGTCCAGACTTTGCGCCAGCTTTTCCCCACATCCACACTGATCATGATATGCCACACAGCTGTTCCCACTTGATCCAGACAACACCCCCCTCACCGATCGCCACTGCGTGCTCACTTTCGACATTCGTGACATCTTCACTGCTTGTGGTGCCACCTACAAACAGATTCGAGGCGCATTATGCAACATCGCCATCCAACTCATCAAACACACCTGGCACCAAGTCCACCACGCTTCCTCCAACAGCCCTCGGTTTCCTCTCCACCCGATACGCTGACAATCCCTTCATTTTGCTCACCACCCTAGCCCAGATTCTACGGACACCCGGTAGAACTACTGGTAGAGCCTGTCGACAATCGCCTCCTAGGTTTTCACATCTGAGACACCCCAACGGCACGTCACTTATCAGCTCCAGCCTTCCCTGGCAAATCCGCCGCTACACTTCACCCGGGTCCATTCACTGCGCCTTTCACAACTTATAGCTACCCTGACTCCCACGCCAGTGTCAGCAAGAAAGCTCTGATTGACCTCTACATCTGCTAACGGTAACGCTCCCACAATGCCACTCCGCACTACGATGAAAGAAAGGAGCAATCAATGCGCTGCAGCGCTTAGCACTCACATTTCTTGTTCCAAATCCCGATCGGCTGACGTACCATGACGTACCTACATTGATTTCGCGCTCGATGTAAACCATATTAACATATATATATATATTAACATTCTCGCCTTTCCGTTTGCTCAGGGCCTGGTTTTCGGTTTTCGAGAACACTAATTAGATCGTACAGTGTTGATGCTCTCGTGGTATCACCTCGAACTGGCGCTTTTGCGAGTTCTTTCTCAAGAGGGAGTGTGTGTGTGTGTTTTTGAGTAGCTGCTGGCAATGTGTTCTGCACTACGTTTGAAGGTTTGATGGCCTGCGACAAGACTGCAAGCACTAGAGTCACTAGAGCAATGCATGCAATGGCGACAACGACCAGCCCACCTGGATCAAGGATAGCCCTTTGAGCAAATTCACCAAGCAAAGGTTACTGGTTTTTCATGGTTTTTCCTGTAATATGGAATCTGGAAGTGGATTGCCAATGGTCAGTCGACCTGCACGTGATACTGAAGCCGCTTAGCATCAGATGAGGCCAATGACGTGTTTGGGATTTTCGAAGCCTTGTGAGGTTCGGCCCCGTTCCAGACCTTGATCAGCGGCGTTGACGGCAACGGTGGAGTTCCATGGATTTGCATTGGGGTTCCTCGAAAAACCTGATACCCCCTCAACAAACGGAAGAGAACCGTGAGGGTGCAAGTTAGGGCCGCTAGGGGGCACAGAGGAGAAAGACTGCCCATTTGAAGTTTGCCAGTTTGGAAGTCTCAGAAAGATCTCAGTATGGGTGCATTTCACACGTGTCGGAGCATTTGCATGCAGTGCCAGAACTCTGGTTTGACTACAACTTCAACCTATTCGATTCCTTCACGACACACTGTTACTCGCCCTCCAAAGTATCAAGTAGTCAATTTTAGTTTGTCCCACACCTGCAGAAATGGACTGAAAGGATTTTCCAGCTCGGTTCTGCAGCTGACCCACAGAAGTACCCTACTTGACGGAAAAAAAACAACGCTGATGAAAGCAAGTCCAAACCAGATGAGCAAATCAGCGGCGGCTCTGGATGTTGTTTTCATAGGTTCACCATGGTTCACCATTTGCAAAAGGTTTCCCTGTTCCAACACCCTCCCCATCCGCTCCACAAAATGCAGCTCTACGCCGCCTCCCTTAGGTCTTCAACATCGCAGACAAATCCCTGTCTATGAACAGCCTCATCAACCCAACAGTTGGGCCCTCACCACCAGTGCCAAGCAATGGAGCGATGAAGAATGTCACAAGCCAAATCATCAAACAGATGCTCAGCCTTAGATATGATATGTTGGGTCAAAATGAACCCTTGCGTGACTCATCTGTCAATAGGAGCTACGACAGACCCTGAGCTTGGGTGAATGGTTGCGCTGGTTGTTGGATTCAGGATACTTGCTTTTGACCAAGCGTTTTGTTTTCCATCAGGGTTGCCTCAAGACTGGGAACCAGGATTGAATCGAGGTCCATGTTTTGTTTCTTGAGGCAAAGAATTCGTCCCTCCGTTTGGGATTTTGACGGGGCTTCCGGGCTGCTGCTAAAGCTTTTGGGTTGTCGGATGCCCGGATTCATCGACGTTTTGACCTTTGGGCTCGAGCAGGTTTGTCTACGTTCGGTGTCAACGGTCTTGGTTCATGCATGTGTCCTTTTTGATATCAATATCCAATATCTCAAGTCATCCAAAGTCCAAATCAAGTCAAACTGGTAGCCATGTGAGGTCATGTTCCTTCCTTTTCCGTAAGGACACTTCCACAAATGTCGGGCACTTTGACGACGGACATGGAGAATTTGGCTACAGCCTCATTGAAAGATTGCCTCCCTTTGCAGTTCGGCCTATCCAAGGTCTCAGCTTTACACTTTGGCCGAAGGTAAAGTGGTGGATGGACAAGATGACTTGCCTATATGATCTTAAAGATCAATTTTAATTGTTAGATTTGCAACCTTGTAGAGATGTTTAGAGAGAAGTATCGAAAAGATTCAAAGAGTAATTACAGTACTAACATCAGAAAGAATAAGTATGGAAAAGCGGAAGTTTGGCAAGCAGAGTCGAGTGCCGCAATCTTGATCCTCAAGGACCCTTTTGCCAATCCCTTTTTTCACTGCACTGTGAGCCATGATGGTGAAAAGTCTTGTTTGAGCGCGCCGCTCCACCTTTTGCTTTGAGGGTTCAGCGAAACCCGACATTGTTTAGTTGGCGCCGGAGCCTACTTCTGCATGCTGCCGGGTGACGACGACCAGAACTCGGAGAACGACCCCTGTAGGAGATTCGGTGCCTGCCTTTGACTTTAATGACACCAATACACCCCTAGGTGACCAGCCTGAGCCCTTGCAAGAGGACAAGCGCGACACTTGGCTTTGGTTTGCTGCGGCTCCACTCAAAGCTTGCTTGTTACCACGTGACGCGGCAATGGGCTTGCACTCGGTGTCAGGGAACCCCCTTTCACTGCTCAGACCACTGTGCTAATGGTGACGATGCCTTCTGACAAACAAGCCCGTTGTTGCTACCACCTCAACAAGGTTCTCGCAAAGGGCGACGTTCTGCACAAGACCGACATGTGGCTGAGACGCCAGCCAACCCTTTGCCCGAACACAAGGACGCCAAAATCTTGAGAGCCTTGAGCAAGCTTTTGCATTCCAAGTCTTGGACAAAGTGCGTGGTGGAGTCTGGCTTGGCTCCCAGGTTGTCTTGGTCGGGTTGTTGGTCATAAGGAAAAATCTTCTTGGCTGGGGCTCATCCACAGCCTCCACGTCAGCAGCATGGACAGACTTATTTGTAAAGATAAAGCTCCGAGAGCTGGATGCCGAAGGCCTCTTTCAAAGTTCACGCCCTGCTGGCCCCGACGAGGATTCCTCTTTGGGCTTCTGGCCTAATCCTGCTGGTCGAACATCCCGCGCACCTCCATGCATGCCCACGGCTTTCAAACAACGCGGCATGTGTTCGGGCTCCTGTTCCATCTCTCCCGCAAGAGGTTTGCAACATCCAAAGGTCGACCTTCTTCTGCAATTCGGGCCACGCTCGAACATCGCCACGAACATGGAACTGCATTCATCTTTGCTGCTACCTTCAGGGCCATCAGAATTAAACCCCCTTCTCATCCTGGAAGAGGATCAAGCATCACACAAGTGACCAAACAGACAGAGACACACACACACACACACACGGCCCAAAGAGGCCCGGCAACACCACGGTTGAGTTATCTCCTATCAACATCCGCGCAGCGCAGGAAACCTTGGGATCCATTTGGTTCCAACGAGCCTGATGTATGCTGACGGCCTCACAAACCATGATGTTTTTGGGTCCAAAGATTAACCTCAACCCGGAAGGATCAACCAAAAACACGATGGCAAATTTGAACAACACGTTCTCATGCAAGTGACCCTTCAGGGTCGAGTGCCACAACCTTGATCCTCAAGGACCCTTTTGCCAACCCAACTTTTCACTGCGCTGTGAGCCATGGCGGTGCAAAGTCTTGTTTCAGCGCGCCGCTCCACCTTTGCTTTGAGGGAAGAGCGAAAACCAACGTTGTTTAGAGATACAGATCTTCAGCGAAAGCGCAAAACAATGTTTCGCGATGTAGAGCGGACAAATCTTGCACAGTAAAAAGCAAAGGCGCATGGTTTTTTTGAAAATCCACACCGAAGTTCTTACATTTCACCACATGACCGCACACCAAACAAGCGGCAAAACGCCAGAAAGGTTCCGCCTCGAAACTCTCCAGGAAATTTGCTGGTGTTGTAAGCCTCTAAGTCCGCTGGAGCCAAGAAACAAATCCGTTGCTGCGAAAACATGCCAAAACCAACGTAAATGTTTTTGCAAAGCCAGGGAAGACTATGATTCGGGACTGTTTGGGCAAGGAATTTGTTTTGAACATCAATGCCTATTTCCACTCACAAATGTCGAGGTTATCCTCTCTCACCAGCTTGGCCAGATGACATTGTTCTATTTTTGATCATTTTGCGACCGCCCTGCCATGGTGAAATTACCTGTCTTTGCCAGGTGATGTGCGACCTTTTTTGCATCGACGACGCGGTGCGTAGTGGGACCACTGCAGTCTTGAGCAGTTTGCAAGATTCTCATGCCGCGCTGATGACGAACCTCCAAGCCTTGCTCGATTACCAGACACAATATTTGCTTTGGGCCACTGTTCTCAATATGGATGTGGCTCCAACAGGTACCCCTCAACCTAATTGGCAACGCCACGTGACAATAATCAGCAGGTTGAAGTCCTTGGGTTTGGATATGTATTGAAGCCTCATCCAATTAGTGAACCTTTTGAACTCATTGTTGTAATTTGGATATCAAGGGATATCCATGCGTTGGAGATTTGTTGATTGCGAAAATCATTGTTGTTTGAATTGCGATTTTGAGAACCAAGTTCGTTGCGCTAAAGCAGAAAAACTTGTTTTCGTTGCACGTGCTTAGCAAGCTTGTTGTCTACCAAGCTCACCCAGTGAGGCGATTGGCACCGCGGTGAATCCCCACCCGGTCGGGCAGCCTAGCTAAACCACTGTTAAGGCTTGGATGAACCAATTCGTTTGCAGGGAGATAAGCTTTGGCCGGATGTGAACCTCCTGTGAGTCAATCGAGGCGGTTAGCATCATTGCGCTTTTTCGCTTTGCGAAACATCCTTATTCAATGTTGAAGAATTTTCAGCCAAAGTAAATCCCATGGGCTTTGGCATGATGGTTGCCTACCTTGCCCACTTTGGAAGCCTCCATCGTTGTTCTGCCTTCAGGTTGCGCTGGAATCTGAGGAGGTTTTGGCAGTTCCGGTACTGCTGAAAGAAATCGAGGAGTTTCCGGAGAAGGAAACTTGGCTGCTGAAATTCGTTGGTCTTTTCGAACAAATTGCAATCAGCACAAACTAGTGGGTCGATACGTCAACGCTGAGCCAAGGAGATGAGGCCTGGTTTGGTCTTGGGCCGAGAGGTCTTGGATTGGCACCGGAAGACCGGAGAAGAACTGACAGACCGGATCATGGCCATGTCCATCAACGCCTCCATGGAGAACTGGCCTCATCGGGTGAAGTCCATGAAAGGAAGCTGGGCAAAAGGCCGTGGGAAGTCAAACGCAATGCCATTTGGTTATGGGCTCCAACATCATGATAATATGATATATTGCGAACCATTTGCATAGAGACCATTGTGCAGAAACATGACATCATGAGCATCATGGATGTCTACTGAAGCCCCTTTGAGTATCAAGAAAGAGACATTAGTACCAGGAGAAGATGGATGAAATCAGAGAAATCCTTCAAACTATAGCACAGAGTCCGCTGGCAACAACATCACAATGACAGGAAAGAAATTCATGAGAAGCCAAATGAGAAATTTGACATGGAATTGGCAACTGAGGCAGAGAAGACCAGGTGCATCAAGCTCTATGGATGAATTATTATCATAATTATTAGCTTCGTTGATGAGAGGAAGGGCTGCTGAAGGCTGTGGTGGACTCCAAAGGATTTGATGCCTGGAGGATTTTGAATAAAGCTTTGAAGCAGACTTCAAAGGCAAGAGGCTTGGCACTCTTGGGAGCAGCCACTACATGGCCAGCATTTTCAATGAACGGCGCACTACAACCTCAACTCTTGAACCTTGAAGAAGTGTTTGATGAGACTGTCAAGGCAGGGACTACAATTTGAAATCTGCTATTCTTTCGAGATGTGTAGGTGGACAACTCAAGTCCTACTTGAACTTGACAATTGGTGACCATGTTCAATACCCAACTTTGAGGGAACACTGCTAGTAGCAGTACAGACTATCAAGGACCTATGCCAATGGACGTTGATCGAGCCCAAGATACTAAAGGAAAAGGTAACATGGGCAAGAATGACTATTAGACAGGTAAAGGCAAAGCTGGCAAGGGCGCAGGAAAGAAAGGAAAAGGAGATGAGAAAGGAAAAGAAGTAAAGGTAAAGGCAAAGACCAAGAAGGCAAAGGCGTGGCAACATGTTACACTTGTGGAAAGCCAGGGCATCTGGCTAAAGATTGTTGGAGGATCAATGAATCAATACCTGGCAGGTAGCAAGTGATCGGACCCGTTCATCTTCAGGTGGAGCATCTGTGACAACTCATACAGTTGGCCAACCGCATGCCAATGTGAGCCAACAGAGTAGCTCAGCAGAGACCAAACCAGTGGTCAGGAGAATTGAGAACAGTGAGCCGATCAAGAAAGAGATGATGAGCTACAAACCAGAGAATCAGAGTCACTTCTACATTGGAGTTGATGGTGATGAGCCAGAAATACAGGAAGTTGAGGAGATTTACATCTCAGATGATGAACCCATGGTGAGGAGACTTGGGGAAGAGAATGAGGATGTGGCTATCATTATTGACAGTGGAGCAGATGTAGCATTATTCCCTTTGAGTGTGGCAGGTCACGGGGAAGGGGAACTACAATTCAGCACTAAGACCAAGCTACAAGATGCACAAGGAAATCGCATCCCCACAGGAGGTGCGAAAAGTGTTGAAATTTCCCTGCGTGACCTTGATGGACGAGAAGTTCTTCTCAAAGAGAATGCGATCTTCAGTTCCAAGGTGAATCAGCCCATACCTTGTTATACATGGTTGGGGAATCAACAGCATGACAGCGCATGTTGGAGAATGGTGACTTGCAGGTATCACTCAACTTGCAAAATCGCCCTTTGGCAGTTCAAGGCCGCATTAGAGTCATTCAAGATAAAGATGGGAACTGCCTGGAAGCGCAAGTACCTGAAGCTGTTGAGAAAGAATCAGGTTGATGGTTCAATGAACATGGACTGCTAGTTGGAAGCTTATTGGCTTCAAGATTTGTGGGTCCTACAGTTATTCCAGAAGTGGAAGAGTCACCAGAGCTGATGGGAACTACTTTTGGTGTAAAGAGGAGGTAGATGGCTAATGCCTGAATATTGCGAGAGCACGATGAAAAAGGAGGAGCTTGTTGAGCAATTCTTTCATGATGATGCAGTCATTCCTTCAACCGCAATCTTCAGTTATGAGCCTTCAACGGGATTCTTTGCGCCAGGATACAAGCACTTGAGAACAGAGAGCAAAGAGAGAAAGAAGTGCAACGGCCAGTAGAAGAGATTACCCCTACTCCCCAAGAGAAGGGGGTAGAAGGTCATAAAGACGATGAAAAGAAAGAAGATGACCTGAAATGTGAACTACAATTGAGCCCAATGGATGTAGACAAAGTCTTGGTGAATGGAGTAGAGTTGACTAAGGATTCATCTTGGCAACTCTGAGGGCAGCTTGTTCATTTCTCGGCATTTCAGGCAGTGGCTCTAAGCTAGAGGTCTACACCAAGATCCTCAATCAAAACAAGAAGATGGAGTTGTTGAACGCCAAAAGCTTGGTGAGTGAAGCAAAAGCTCAAGAGACTAGGGAGGCATTAGGACAAAGTGTTGCAAAGATGCCAGATGAAGCAACTTGATCGCTGTGAGGGAACAGATGGGGTATTCCTGAGGTAAGCTTTGACTGTTGCTATACAAGAGCAAGAGACTCAGAGACAAAGTCAGCGAGAGCAGTATGTTGGTTAGTTGCAATTGACAGCCATTCATGTTGTACCATTAGGCAGCAACGGCCAATTTCATCTCATCGAGCAGGAGTTGATGAATTTTAGTCAACTGCTGGGGTGTTCAGCGATCGCCTACAAGAGTGAACAAGGCAAATCCTTAAGATGCTGATCAATGCTCGCTACAGTCTAGGGCTCACTACCAGATTAGTTAACTCAAAGCTTGGAGATCGTTCAGGCTGTCAGAGAACATGGTTGACAGGGTGAGAAAGCTTGCGAGAACTTTCATTGAAGGTGTGCAGTCAAGCCTGGGTATCAAGATTGGATGAGATTATGCACTTTGGACTTGGGCAGGAAGACATGCTAGTTCGGTACTGAATAGATTTCAGCCAGTCAAAGGTGCAACTCCCTATGAACTTGTCTATAGCAGAATATGGTGTACCAGTTCATGGTTACGTCAAGAGCCTCACCAAAGAGAAGCAAGATGGCATCTATGCTTGTTCTTGGGAAAAGTTGAGAGGCAAGATACCTATGCGCTTACAGGTAGTACTTAGCAAATGTATCACAAGAACACATGGAGTCCGGCCAAAAGTCTATAATCAGAAAACATAGATAAAGGGTTCGAAAGTAGCTTATGATTCATGATGCTGTTTTTCAATTAGATTATGTAGCGGGCCCCCCAGCTAAGCACACCTATTCTGCAGCTGGACGCTAGGTTTGCGGTAGACTTGCGCTAGTGACGCTAGTGTTTGCCTTAGGACATGTTCAGAGCGTCGTCAGGCTTTTGAAAAAAGTTGCTAGCTGAAAAATGCGCTAGCCGCGCGCTAGCACTGCGCTAGGTCCGCGCTAGCAAAATAGCAAACATTGCCAGATTCCAGCGTGGGCCCTTCCAAGGCTGACTTGCAACATGTCTTTTGTTTCAAGCATGGCTTGAAGCTCGGAGATCAGCTGAAAACGGTGCAGCGCTAGTGACGCCTCTTACAATTTGGCGCCAATACTTGTTTGGTCCATGTTTCCTTCATTATCCAGCTGTGTGCGTCAAAGGTAATCAGAATATGAAGCGGGCCCCCATGTGAACACGACTTTCAGCCATTTTTGGAAGAAGACAGCTCGACCAGATCCCACATCAAGATTGGTCCAAGTACCTACCCATTTACAAAAGCTTCAATGCCTCTTTGTGGGAGTATCAGACCAACTTTGGGGGCAGAATCATTGCCGCCAAGAGGAGAGCAGAAGCATTGAAGGAGGAAGTGATCAGATAAAGAAAAGCCATTGTTCCCAGAGCCAATGGAGATTCCAGCCCCGCTGGAAATCTCTGAAGCAATGAAGAGAGATGGAGGTGAAAGAAAGCCAAGTGGAGAAGAGACACCAAGTAAGAAGCAGAAAGTTCTCTTTACAGGAGAAGACACCTGATAAGGTGAAGGCATTTCCCTCTACATCGTTGCCAGCAGGACAACCACATCCAAATACTCCTATCCTATCTTCATTGAGATCACCATCAGCGCCGTCAACCAAGAGAAGCCTTTGAATTGCTTGAGGAGGAAAGCCCTATGGAGAAACCCATGCCATCAGATGGTTCAAGCAAGAAAGCAAATATCAACATGGTGAAAGTTGGAGGAGAGGATCTTTACCATGTAGACGAAGAGTTATCCCCAATTGCAGCAGAAGTTGGTGAAGAAGAGTGGGAAGAAGAAGAAGATGATGACTCAGACTTGTTAGAAACCAATGGACCTGAATGTTTGGGGAACATGGAACCAGAAGGTCCAGAAGAATGGATTAGCTGATGAAGTGGAAGAGACTCCGGAAGGTGCAAGCGCTAGAGACCAGAAGGCAGCACAAAAGGAATCAATGGCCTGACAACACGCAATGCTTATGACTGGAGGAAGAAACCATATCAACTTGGAGTTGCAACTTCAGTCAGGAGGTTCAAGGGTTGCAAGAGAAGCTGCTTTCGCTGATGGGAAGAGAGATGACATTTTCTCACCAGCGACTTCAGAACACGCACTGAAGCTTCTACCCACAATATTCTCGCAAAGGATCAGTGAAGAAGATGAGGCAAGAGAGGGGGAAGGAGCGTTCTCACAGGTACTAGGATGTCTTGGTGTGAAAGACGCATTCCTACAAGTTCCACAAGAGAAGCCATTAAAAGTGAATTTGAGAGGAGAAGAACTCTTGGTGAAGAGGAATCTACCTGGACAAAGAGCTGGAGCAAAAGCATGGTTTGACTTTTTCACAGCTCTGTGAGGAACCCAACTACAAGCTCAGTGCTGAGTGCCCATGCCTAGGAAGAAATGAGAAGAATATCATTTTGATCCATGTGGATGACTTGACGTTCATCTTTCTTCCAAAGATTCAAGGCAAAATTGACACCAGTGTGAGCAAGATTGAGAGGATTGGGGATGAGTTCAATTTCCCGAGGAGACAGTACAAACTCGAAGTTGATGGACCATGGATCCAACCAGGCAACTACACCCAGCAGATGTTGAAAGCCTATGAAGATCAGATTGGATTGGTCAAACTTCAACAACTACCAGCAGACGACTCAATCCAGATGGAAGACAAATCAGAAGTCTGCAGGAGCAAGAGAAGATTAGCCTTTTCAGAAGCAATTTTGGGTCAGGTATCTACCTACGTCAAGAGAGGTATATGAAGTGTAGCACTTACAGCGAAAGAATTGGCTTCAAGAATGTCAAATCCTACAGCTATGTCATTTGCTCACTTGAAGAAGTTTCTAGGATACTTGAAGAAGACTATGGACTACTGTCTGGTACTTGAGTTTCCACAAGCAGGAGAAGGTTATGTCAAGAAAGGAGCAAGCTTTTGGTGCCTGGAAACATTCTCAGGTTCGGACTGGAGTGGGAACAAAAGCCACAGAAAGTCAACGTCAGGAGGATTCCATGCGTTGAATAGTTGTCCATTGTTCAACAGCGGCAGAACACAGAAGATCATTAATTAGCTTATCTTCACGCGAAGCAGAACTGCATGCAATAGTTTCCTCAGCATCAGATGGAGTCTATATCAGAGCAGTTCTGGAATTTGCTCTACGCCTTCACAGATTCACCAAATGCGCGCCAACTTGTGACAAAGAGATTGGAAAAGTGAGACACTTAGATGGAAAGTTGCTATGGATTCAGAACAGAAAGGACTTCAAGATGGTATAAGTACCAACAGATGGTAACATGGCAGACATCAGTACAAAGCCACTTGGAGGACAGAGAGAGTCAGATATTAGAGGAACCTTTTTGGTTAGTGGAGAGTATGAGAGAAGGGTGTTTGAAGAGAAGAATTGTGTTCAAAATTTTTCGCAACAGTGATTTTCAGAATCTGCCAACAATTTGAAGCTCTACACGCAGATTTTGCTCATACCGATCGCTATATGACAGACTTCTACGAGGAGCTAACCAAGAAGAATGAAAGGCAAATTGAGCAGGGCAGCAGGTCAACGATAGAGCGGAAAGAACCTCTGATGAGCAATGCTATCATGTTGAGAAACGCTATTGGACATCATGGGAATACACCCAATCCAGGACAGATGAGATAGAAAGACCACCAACAGAACTGGCAGGTATGATCAGACTTGATGAAGATGACAGGCATGGAATAGAACTACTCAGAGACCATGCCAGGAGAGTTCACAGTGGATTGGTTCTCAATGCAGGCTTTGTACAGAAACACCAAATACACAAGCTATTAGTGTGTATGCCATGTTGAGTGAGATGAACGCAGCACACTTCTTAGCCAGAAGGAGCTTAGAAGACGTGCAGGAAACAGAAGGATTGTAATATGGACATCAGGTGATGTTGCAAACAGTTATGAATGGAGGAAAGGGACCGCTATACAAAAGATTCAAACCAGGAAATAGAGAGCTATCAACCAGACAAGAGTATGAAGCAGCGCAGGCAAACCAAGTATGTGGTCGACTTGAAGCAAAAGCACAGCAGCTAGCAGAGAGACATTACAACTTGCTGGGAAGAGGACAACCAGGAGCAGCAGATGCAGTTGAAAGAGAAATTGTGCAGTCAGAATGAGAGAACATCCAGATGTACCACATGCAATGCTAACAATATCTAGGAACCCAGTTCCTGGAAACAATGAGTAAACCCAGAAGAGAAAGGGAAACAAGAATTGAATGAGAGAAAATGGACAATGGTGGCCAAGTGAGCTCAAAGAAGCCTTTTGAAGTCTCACGTGGCCAAGAAGGAGTGCGAACCATGTTGCATAGATACCATTGTACAGAAACATGACATCATGAGCATCATGGATGTCTACTGGAGCCCTTTTGAGTATCAAGGAAAAGTGCGTGTATATATATATATATATTTGTTTTATATATATATGATATGATTGATAGACATTGATAGACTGATAGACACTTATGTTTGAATAGGTTGAACTTGTGGGTAGGTCCAGCCCGAACAGGTGCAAGTTGTATTGGCGGCGAGAGCAGGAGTTGACGGGTAGGGACGTTGTTTCGTCATTCCTTTGTCATGGAGTTGTAATCAGAACCCTTAATCTGGAGAAGTGAAAATGGAGCCATTGAAACCTCCTGGTTCTTTACTCCTTCAGTGATCATCGATCAGTTGGGAGAAAGCGAGAAAGCACCAAAAGCACCACATGTTGACAGACCCGAACGACACAAAGGCCCCAGAAGGGTCTCAGAAAGGGTTTCTGGGACCAGGAGTCTTGCCATGACCAATTGGCAGAGATTCTGTGGACTCGATTAGAAGAAAGTTTATCGGATTGACAGGTTTGGACATGTTGTGTTTCCTTTGGGGCATCACGTGGGTGTGTCAATAGTGTTTTTTATGTTTTGGCCATATGAAATTCAAACGACCGTGACCGTTGAACGAATCTGACCCTCTGTATGACTATGTATTAATAGAACTTGTGAAACATGTATTCAGGCCACACTTACTTGCTGCATGTTGGTGAGTTGATGTTCATTCTCAGCGCTAGAAGAGCTATTCAATAATGTGAGACTTCGTTGTGGAGCATAGTGTACTAACTCAAATGTAAGTTCAATACACTTTGCATGTCTGTCCAAGGAATGCTACATCACTATCGCAAGAGCTTGACTGATCGTCTTCAACCTGAGAAGCGCCGTGATAATGACTTGCCTTCTGTGCCGTCCACTCAGAAGATGGTCAAAGAGAAGTTGCAGTATCTGAGCAACTAAGCTTTACAACGCAAAAAATAGACCTGGACGTTTTGGATGGTGGAGGTGCCCACAAGTCAACAATCTCGTAAACAAAATTCCAGTAGTTTCAGAGCAGGTCCTCCCTTCATGTACGGCAGCTGCTCCAAGCGTCTAAAGAGCGTCCATACATCAATGGCACGGCCTTCGAACGTAACAAATGGGTAAGTGGACCATGTTTCCAACATTGTTTCGCTAATGGGTGTTGGAGGCCATCACTAATAAGTTGGATGCCATTCCTAAAAGGAAAAGGAGGCGGTATCGATCCAGTCGTGGCGAAGCCCCAACGTGTTTATGTGAGGTGATCAGGCATCCGAGCACCGTGAGGTGGCGGAGGTGGTGCAATCCTTACACATGCAGCACGTGAAATCGCCGGTACCGCTCTTGGAGGACACCAAAATAGCGGTATTTTTTATGATATAATGTCATAAGATAATAATTAGGGGTTGATGGTAGAATCATCTCCAGGCTGACACCAGCGGGAGGACCAAGCAAGAACATCGATTTTGGAGTCTTTCCTGCACACCCATGAGAAGCACAACACTTTCAGCATGCTCCACTTAAAGGCTGGAAGAGCGACGAGACCGAGGAATTTTCACTCACTTGCCAGCTGGTTCAATTTTGAATTGTTGAGGCAGTGATTTGAGCAAGTCAGGTGTCGGGATCATACCATTTCTCAAACTGAGCTTACTCCGCCGGTGAATCTGCTTCTGAAGGAGTCCAGCCTTTCGAGGAGTACCTTTGATGGGCAGTCTCTACTGAACTGCCAGCCCTTCCCATTTACGTCATGCGCAATAGGGATCAATAGGGAACGTATCTCCTGCTTTTAGTCTTATGGCTCACGGAAGGCCCTGGACCAGACGGACTACGCAGTTAACTTGGCGCACAACTTCTCTGAGTGTGCAGGAGAGGGTGCCTGTATGTGCCTGTCCAGGAGCCTCACTTTTTTGAAGATCTCGGGTCACAGATGCTCCAGGTAGATGAAGATCTTGAGATCCAGGAATCGCTTAGGAATCATAAGGCTGTCACAAGCAGGAGTAAGGACGGGCATCCCAACATGAAAGGGCACCCTGTCCCATCCTGCAGTGATTTGTTGTATTAATCGCAACCCTTCAGTGTGACCGCATGATCAACGTACCACTGATTGTTGCTCTGCCAGTAGAGAGCCACCGGCGCCAGTACGCGATCGGCCTTACCAGCGAGCTTCAGTGTCCTTGAAACAACAATTTGCTTCAAGCCAGGTTCAGGATCGAACAATCAAGCATTGAGTAAACTTATGTATCGAGCGGAAATGGAACCTTCAAACACCACACACCTCTCATCCATTCTCATCCCATAGTTCTTATGAACTTTCCATAAAGTTTACTGGTTTGATCTAGGCTTGGAAGGTTCGTAGAGTGAGTGACCCAATGAACCGCTATAGCTCTCGTTGTTTGATTCTTCCAGGAGTAGACACCGCCTTGTTGCGGGAAGCGTGGCAACGTGCCTTTCATGCTGATGAACGAAGCAGTGAGGCCTTGCTGGAAGCCTGGGCAGCCACCCTTACCACCTCCGAACGTCTACAAGTCGCCGTGAAGGAGCGATACAACAACAGCACTTTTTCACTGACAGGAATTATTGTCTAATCGTTCAACATGGGGAATCGAGATTGGACCACTTTTTCTTGCTTCTTGGGACTCAGGGACTGGTTGTCAAGTGTACTCACGTAGGCACCAAGGAGGCCAGGAAGGGCTGTAGCATGCATAGCCCTCACATGGCTGAAGCAATTCCATATAATAATGATTCAACGCATCTATTTGCTAGTAGGTTGGAGGCCATCGCAATGCCAGGGTTCTTCGTCCCGACTGTCAGGACGAGGGCTTTTTGGATCGGTTGCCACACCTCATCGTCCTGGACACTGAGGACCAACGCCTTGACCCTTTTGACGGCATGTCGGAACCAACGCCAAGCAGTTTGACCCGGGCACCCTGTGGGAATCGTAGCGCACTGGTGCAGGAGGTCTATGGCCAAGCAGCCGCTTCAAAGCAGAAGATTGACTGCGCAGAGTTTTTTCCCCAAGTCTAATAACATAGTGACATAGTGATAATTAGAAGTTGTGTAATGTTGTTTGAACCCCGAATACAACTCCTTTCTTGATAAACCTAGATCAATAAATGAAAAGTCATGAAAAGTCTCTGTGGAACCCAGGAGGTCAGGACCAGCAAACTCAACTGGCACGTCACTCCTGTTTTGGTGGGCGATATAGCAGTGGGTGTGATGCATTCCAGCGAAGTCCGATGAACTAGCTGTAGGCTGTGTAGGTACTGTCCGCTGCTCAACGAGCTCACCACTGTTTTGCCCACTGTTGGGCCATGCGTCCTAGTAGCCGTCTTTACTACTAATTTTAATTTGATTCTACTAATTTTAATTTGATTCTAATTAAATTCTAATTTATGTATTGTTTCTACTAGCTTCTTGTTCCTAGCAGTAAGGCCCTTGCTCCTAGTAGCGATGCCAGGAGCCCCTAGTAGCGTCCAACAGTGGAGGCCATTGCTAGTAGGTTGGAGGCCACTGCTATTGGTTGCTTCAGGCCGGGCTAAACCAAGACCGATCCATGGGTTCACCCGTTCGTTCAATGTGCGCTGTCACGATATGCACGACAATCCCTTCTCGATGTGAAAACTGCTCGCGGGTCCATCTTGGTGTCAAGAGGGAACTGCTAGAACCCGGCCAAAAGGAACAATACAATGCAATGATACAATATTTGACGAGGAGGTCTTTGCACTCTCCTCGATATTTGCTTTCACCCAGGTGGCCATGGTCGTTTCCTCCTTGAGGCCCTTAGCCATGCAGCTGAACACCTTCAAGGCCATACCAAGAGCACATCGAAACATCGAATGCCTGATGGAGCTTGTAAAAGCTTCAAACAAGTCTCTGGTATATGAACATATTGGACAATACTTGACGTCCAGCATATATACAGAATGTTGAAATATGTGTATCCAGTATTCGTATCCTGATAGTTGATCTAGGTGTTGACGGAGTTGCTGTCAACCAAACAAGTTCTTCAACCAAACTTTGCGGCGCTCCCACCGTCAAGTGGCGCTCCCACCGTTTCTGCTGGCACCATGTGCTTGACGGTCACGGAGTGAGAGAAACCGCTCGTTTGCAGGTCTTAGCAACCTACCAGGACGATGAAATTGGTGTCCACTTCGAGTGAACACTTTGAAAAAAGTTTGTCCATTTGAAAGGCAACTAACTGCATGCTTTTGAGATCTTTTGGTTTCCTCCGCCAAATATTCTTTCCACGTTTTGAAAGGCCTGAGTGTCGTGTAGTGAAATTGAAGTGTTTACGAATGAAGCCGGTCACCTTCGGTGTCATCAGCCTTCAGGCACTTTCTCCTGGAATTTGTGTTTATGTTCAGTGTGATGCGTGGGTTCAATGTGAAGATACTTCAGAGTGACCGGAATTTCGACAAAAGAATATATATATATAGCCGTTCAGCCCGGTTCAGCCTGCTTTCCTTTGATAAAGTCCAGGAGCAGCAGCTCAAGCATCGACAGTTGGAGTACGTTCCCATGACTGACAGTGCGTCAGTGATTTCAGAGCTGCAGATGCTGCTGCAAGAGGTCTCTATTCCAACAAGTGCACAAGGTGCGGCCCCGATTGATCCTTTTCGAGAGCCTTTGAAGATGGGTGAAATGGGGTTCTCGATGGTTCTAGTACTCTGAATATGGGCCTTTGAGTGATGTGGTTGTATCCTATCTAGGTGGTTGATCTGGTCCATTTGGTGTGATTCGGGAGTGGTCATTAAGGCAGCTATTAGCCAAGTCTTGAATCTGAAAAGGACTCCCTGCTACCCTACCCCTCTAAACCAACTGAGGCTACTAGTAACAAGTGCCACGCTAGTAGTAACAGGTGCCTTACTGGTAGTAACAAAAAGCTATTAGAATTAAAATTGATTTAAAATTATTTTAGTTCTAATAGGCACTTGTTGTAATTTGCTTCACTTGTTGCCACATTTCCCCGAGGTCGAGCACTGGCTGCACGCGCAGTGAAGCACTTGGCTCAACCGACGTGTCCAAGCCTTGGGGCATTCCACCAGACAGACCTTGCGCTCCTGTCGGCCGTAACAGTCGAGACCATCCTGTTGCTGTGAAGAGGTTGGGGAGGAGGTGGTGAATGCTCAAAGGTGTATGGTCCATGAAATGCTGATCGCCTCGTATTTGTTGCATTCGGAAAGACCAAATTTGCGCTCTGAGCTGAGAGTACAACTGGATCGGACAATTGTATACCCTTTGCACATCTCAATTTTGAGACTAGGGCTGTGCTATGATACCACTGTTTCTACTGTATTTTTTTCTATCTTTGTACTTGGGGTGCAAAATTCTCTAAGCCTTTGCATGCCTTTGCCACCTCCCCGGTGTATAGAAGGGCCAGCACGGTCTGCTCTGAGAGCTTTTTCGGTGGAGCTTGGTCACGTCTCCGAGAGCTGAAAGTTCTCGAGTGCGACATGCTTCGACCAAGGACACTCGTCGTTTTAAACGAAGCAAACGTCTTCGGTTTCCAGAAACTACGATGAGCTCCGGAAAAGAATACTCCCATGAGCAAAGTCTCTGCTCTCAGGCTAAGCTAAAGGTGCTTTGCAGTTGCCAGTGGCAATGTTTCCGAAAGACTTTGGGATCTAGACGCTAGACACATACAGAAAGCCGAACTTCCCTCCCTGCGATTAGCCTCATTTGAACTCTTGGAAGCCACCGGTCTGCTTATTCACTTCTGAAGCCCTTGTTACCTTGGAAATATCGTAAACGATACAGGCCTCCTTCCTTCCTCAGTAAGTTAAATGTTAAATCTCTCAATAGTTAGCTCAATATGTTTGCAGAACCTCGCATGAATCCCCTGTTGGCAGATCCAACTCTACTGGACCATTGCCACCATGTGATGCCTTGCGTTGGCCGCGCACACATAGGGCTCAGGCCGAAGGGTGGCCCCAGAGAGGGTGCCAATGAGGGACCGCACCAGGCGCGGCCCCGTTTGTACAGCCGGTGTTCCTAAGACCTCCCGAGTGAAATGGTAGTGTGGCTTCCAAGCATCTTCTAGGAGCATCCTCTTGCTCCTAGTGGCAAGGCCAGGAGCCCCCTGCCAGGAGCCCCTAGTAGCGTCCTCTTGCTCCTAGTAGTAAGGCCAGGAGCCCCTAGTAGCGTCCTCTTGTTCCTAGCAGTAAGGCCAGGAGCCCCTAGTAGCGTCCTCTTGCTCCTATTAGGCCCGGAGCCCCTAGTAGCTTCCTCTTGCTCCTAGTAGTATGGCCAGGAGCCCTCCTAGTAGCATCCTTGCTCTCTTCGTAGCGATGCCCTTTGCTCCTAGTAGCTTCTTGCTCCTAGTAGTAGGGCCTGGAGCCCCTAGTAACGTCCTTGCTCCCTTCGTAGCGATGCCCTTTGCTCCTAGAAGCTTCTTGCTCCTAGTAGTAGGGCCAGGAGCCCCTGTAGCGTCCTTGCTACCTTTGTAGCGATGCCTTTTGCTCCTAGTAGCTTCTTGCTCCTAGTAATAAGGCCAGGAGCCCCTGTAGCGTCCTTGCTCCCTTCGTAGCGATGCCCTTTGCTCCTAGTAGCTTCTTGCTCCCAGTAGTATGGCCAGGAGCCCCTAGTAGCATCCTTGCTCCGTTCGTAGCGATGCCCTTTGCTCCTAGTATGTTCTTGCTCCTAGTAGTAGGGCCAGGAGCCCCTAGTAGCGTTCTTGCTCCCTTCGTAGCGATGCCCTTTGCTCCTAGTAGCTGCTTGCTCCTAGCAGTATGGCCAGGAGCCCCTAGTAGCGTTCTTGCTCCCTTCGTAGCGATGCCCTTTGCTCCTAGTAGCTTCTTGCTCCTAGTAGTAGGGCGTGGAGCCCCTAGTATCGTTCTTGTTCCCTTCGTAGCGATGCCCTTTGCTCCTAGTAGCTTCTTGCTCCTAGTAGTAGGGCCTGGAGCCCCTAGTATCGTTCTTGCTCCCTTCGTAGCGATGCCCTTTGCTTCTAGTAGCTTCTTGCTCCTAGTAGTAGGGCCTGGAGCCCCTAGTATCATTCTTGCTCCCTTCGTAGCGATGCCCTTTGCTCCTAGTAGCTTCTTGCTCCTAGTAGTACGGCCAGGGCTCCTAGTAGTAGGGCCTGGAGCCCCTAGTATCGTTCTTGCTCCCTTTGTAGCGATGCCCTTTGCTCCTAGTAGCTTCTTGCTCCTAGTAGTAGTGCCTGGAGCCCCTAGTATCGTTCTCTCTCCCTTTGTAGCGATGCCCTTTGCTCCTAGTAGCTTCTTGCTCCTAGTAGTAGGGCCTGGAGCCCCTAGTATCGTTCTTGCTCCCTTTGTAGCGATGCCCTTTGCTCCTAGTAGCTTCTTGCTCCTAGTAGTAGGGCCTGGAGGCGTCTGGGCCCAAGCCTTCGCGAGGCGCGCCTGTTACCTCCACTTTAGAGTGGGGGCACGAATTGGGCCATGAGAGCCCATTTCGGGGTTTGCCATGGTATCATCCGCCATTCATTTCGAGCCGATACTCACTGGCGTGGTGGTTCCAAGGAAGAAATCTTGCCAAGACACGTTATCCATCGACATCGTGATTTCGCAGTGATCGAATGTGTGAAGACAGATGGAATGCAATGCATCGTGAAAGTGTCCAACTCAATTCTTGCCTGCATGAGCACTTCCGAGCCTTCACAGCTGTATACTTGGAAAATCGGAGGATGTCTTCAGATGGGTATTGTCAGGTTCGCGGACATCCAAAAGTTGCCGGATCCTTTTTTGATGCATGACCAGACAGACATCCCTCCTGGATGTACGGATCCATTCTATCGACCAATTCCAGAGACCTTCGAACCATGGGCGCAAGACTATGCCCGCTCTGAGTCGGTAACAGGATTCGGTCTCATCCAGGAAGACTCCGCATTGTGGGAACCCTGGTGCTGGCGTTTCATAAACGCGCAATCTGCCGGTATAGAGACAACCTACGAGCACCAGGACCAGTTTGGCAACGATGACACATCTTCAGCCACCTCAGGCGAAGTCATTTCATCTATGCGCAACGGCCAGCTCTCAGTGAACTTTTCTACCTCACCTCCAACATGCCGGTTTGACCCTGATGTGACACTTTTGTCTCATCATGATGTAAGGGGAGCACTGGTTCCCGTCCAGGAGGATCCATTTCTGATGATGGAGCCATGGGCCTATGCATATGTACATCATAACATGAACGGTAACGGTCTTGTGGATGTTCACGAAGAACAATATTTTGAACCATGGAGTGCGCACTTCATATCCTCAGAGATGCGTACTGAAAAAGCAGTTTCTGCCCGCTTGTCCTCGGGTCCCTCAATGACACCAGGTTGTCAACACACCTTCTTACATCGTGTCTCGACATGGTTCAAGACCATTTTCACTTCCATACCAACGGGGTCGTGTTCAGATGGATTGAAGTCGTATTTCGCCTCACATCCTATAAACACGGAGCCTTGTTGGAAAGATGTGCTAGGTCTGCACTCGTCTCATTGCGCAAGGTTTGAGCCCTCTTTTCGACAGTTAGGGGAAAGACGAGGTGAACAGCACGAGCATATCCAAACGCCAGATCCTGCTACTGCAATTTTGTTTGAGACTCCATTCCATCCACCTCCAGATATGCCGTCATCGAACACTAGAGTCTCTTTAATTCAAGAAGGCCATTTTGGTCCACAAAGGCATGCCCAAGATTTAATTCATCAGGCCATCCGCTTAGACATTCCTACTACCTACTATGTCTATCCCTACTTCAGTATACCATTGCTGGACAGCATTTCAAGCAAGTTGTACAGTTCGTTTGACAACTGTACGAGATGTCATAATTCCTCCTTGTTTGCCACTGTTCCAGCCATCGCATCCAACTCGTATTGATCAACACGAGCTTGTATCGCAACACGCTATCCACAACTTCGAAGTATTGAATACCATGGAGGTCCAAAAAACAGAGTTCATCAGACCAACCCTAGCAGAGTTGGTAGGGCAATCAAGACCAGCACTTGTACTTTGGCATAAAGGTTTTTGCTACAAGAATGACCAAGATCGACTCGCTCCTGGTCCACTACATCAAACGTTCAATAGTGGGGCTGTACCCGATTTGGCAACCTCAGACAGTCAGGACGCCGAGTATTTCGACAGTATGATATCAGTATCACATGATTGCACTGATTGGCCTCAGCCAAACTTTACATTTTGTGCTCCAAGACATTTCGAGGTCTTCCCCTATGTCAGTACGGACTTTCAGTCGTTTTCGACAGAACAATCGACACCAGATCCAGCATTCGAGTCACCAACAGAACCCCTAAGGGGTGAGCTTCAGAGACTTCATGCTCTCCGACATCAGAATAGTGATGTTCTGCGTGCGGTGCAAATTTCGCCCGAGGTGACTGCCAAGTCTTGCCCATATCCTACATACCAACAAGCTGGCCTACTGACAGTTCTTCGAAGCAATTCAGACCCATAAGGTGTGACGGCCAGTGTGACTGCGTGGCATACTACAGATCTACAGCGCCAGCTGGCAGTGAATGTCCTGTCATGTTCACCGATGAGGATTTTTGGGTCCATAAAGGCCTTGCACACAATGCCATACGCTTAGAGCAGTCTATTCGGTTGCTCTTTGATTGGACCACAACGGGCACACGGTCGGCATACAGCAAAGCCCAGTCCTTGTGGACTCCATTACGCTTCGAGGAGAGCTATAATCAGGCTTGCCAGAACAGATCGATCCTGGTGGATGCAACTCAAAACGATCTCTATGGAGGTACTATTTCCAACTTTTCTGCCCATGTGTGGCCTTACAGTTCCGCCTCTATCCCTCATGACCATTTGGAACTGGATATCAGGTGTCAACTAGATTGGAATGAATCCTTTGCGAGTGCAGAGGGTGCCACGAATCGTGTGCAAGCTCTACCGCATATAACCATATCAAGTGGGGCTGTACCCAGTAACAACCGCGGCACTATGGATTTTTTTCCTTACATGCGATTATATCCCATCATCTTCCAATTTACAGACAATCATATCGAGTTCGAAGCTGATTTTTTCACCTCCACAATGTATTACCACATGCAGTGGGGCTGCACCCGGTATCTACCACGATGTAAATGTTCGTTCCCCCAGCGAGGAGTCAGTCCTTACAGATGGTGTGATTACTCCAAATTTTTTTTGCTTCGACGGCATTTCAAGACCCTATCCG